GCACCTTGTTGTCTCGGATTCTCCAGCATCTGCAGTTCCTACTATCTCTAAGCTTGGGTTAATTTCCTTGGAGCAAAGAAGGCTGCGCAGGGGAGGGATGCTGATGGAGTTATATTCAGGAAGGTGGCTCACCACCACATTCTCGAGGGAAATGCAAGGCTATTGATTCCCACATCCAATGAATGGAATAAATGGAATATGTGCAAGACCTGTAGCTGTTCCTTTGCTGACAATTATATCTGCACTATTTTTGACGACCGGTCTCCCCAGTGTCAAGGAAAAGTTGGTACAAGCCAGCCATGGTTTAAAAGAAAGTACAATAACCAATCTCATCGAGAAGATGTAATGCCACAAGGGACAACAGTTTATATTTGCCAAAAGGATCCTGCTGGCTGCTAAAATATTCCTCCCCTGTCTTGAATTCTTCTTAAGTTGTACGTTGGTGTCGACTTCGAAAACTGCAATATTGCGAATCCTAACAGCATCATCATAACATTCCTCTTACAACTTTGGAACGAGTTCCAGATTTTAAGGAAGTGAGGTGCTAGGCAGTGATCAACTGTACTTACATTCAGCAGATGATCTGTGTTTAAATGTGAAGCGAAGGTGAGTCCTCTGAACATCTTCGATGGGAATAGTGACCTGGAAATAGTAATTGAAACTCAGTGAGCTTGGTAAGGAAATGATTGGCATGAGATTGACTGAAGACGCTGGCAGGAAAATTAGACTAGAAAAGGTCTGAGTTTTAGCTGTCATTATTAGGACAGTGTAATACCATGCAATATTGAGCTTGAAAGAGGTGAAGAGAAGTCAGAAAGGTGCAGTGACAAGTGATTGGTGATGTTTAGTGTGGACTTTAAATTCCTGATGTTTGTGAAAGAGAAGGAAGACTGGGCCTCAAGTTCACACGTGAATCTGCTTATGCAATTGCTTAATACATAAATAAGCAATTCCTTAGACTCTGCTTAATAAAAAGCATTAACCACACATCAAGATAAATACATCAGCGTTCTTTTAAACTGCACACAAATATGAAGACAGAAGAAAGCAATGCAGCTCATCAAGCCTGTTTCATCATTCAGTTAGACTGTGGTTAATCTGTACCATAACGTCACTTATGTCTGATTAGTAAATTCGCAGATGACACAATGATAGGGGAGCTGCAGATCATGAGAAGGATTGCTAGAGGATACAGCAGGATATAGATAGGCTGGAGACTTGGGCGAAGAAATGGCAGATGGAATTTAATCCACGCAAATGCAGGCGATCCATTTTGGAAGATCTAATGCAGGAGGGAAGTATACAGTAAATGGCAGAACTCGAACAAAGAGATCTAGGCGTACGGGTCCACAGTTCTCTGAAAGTGGCAACACAAGTGGATAAGGTGAGCAAGAAGGCTTTTAGTCAGAAGTCACATGACACCAGATTATAGTCGAATGGATTTATTTGAAATCACAAGCTTTTGGAGCGCTGCTCCTTCATCAGGTGAAGTGAGGAAAAGACACACAGGCACAGAATTTATAATCAGAGAGATCAAAAGATCATACAAATGGTGTGAGTGGAGAGTCGACAGGCTGAATAATAAGTCTCTGCAGGTGATCAAGAGTGTCAGATGGTGTGAGTAAAGTGTTAGCAGCTGAATAACAAGTGGAGGGATAACCTATAATCCGATTAATTAAACCTGAGAGATAATTATAATTGAGATTATGCTGGAGACAAATCAAATGGACCCCATTGGTTTCACGGCAGATACAGAGGAATTCCTCAGAAGAATGAGGCTCCAGGAATTCTTCCAAAAACCCCAAGATGTCAGCAGCGAGCTCGATGAGACAACCAATGAACTGGAACAGTCAACAGAGATCCGCAGTGCAGCGACCAAAGAAGAGAGAGTCAATTTGGACCTCTCCAGAAGGCTGCTGTCTTAGGCTCGACATGTGTGCTCAAGCTGTCAGGAAATGCATTAATGCCAGATTCGTCAGCTGCACTCGGAAGATAGCGCAGAACATCACCCAAGCACAACGCAACGCTATCCATGCTGTCAAGACAAACAGCAACGATGTCATTAAACCAGTGGATAAAGGAGGAGCCACCGTCATACAGAATAGAATGGACCACTGCAAAGAAGCATACTGACAACTGAACAACCGGGAACACTGCCTGTTGATCTGACCAAAGAACACACCCATCAACTCAAAAGACCGATCAAGACCTTTGATGTACACCTTTAGAGTACTCTATGCATTCTCATCCTGCTTACTTCTCACATAGGAGACTTCTACTGCCTTCCAAAGATACACAAAGCCATCACACCTAGTCAGCCAATCATATCAGGCAATGGGACCCTGCGTGAGAACCTCTCTGGCTACATCGAGGCCATCTTGAAATCCGTTGTACATGGAACTCCCAGTTTCTGTCGCAACACAACAGACTTCTTACAGAAACTCAGCACCCACTGACCAGTCGAACCAGGAACATTCCTCGGCCTATGGATGTTTTGGCATTCTACACCAGCATCCCACATGATGACGGCATTGCCGCACCAGCCTCAGTATTCAATACCTACAACTTCCAATTTCCAGACATCATCCTACAACTCATCCGCTTCACCTTCAAGCATGATTTCTTCACCTTCGACAACCAGCTCTTCATCCAAACACATAGGACAGCCATGGGGACCAGATTTACTCTCCAATACACCAACATTTTCATGCACAAGTTCAAGCATGACTTCTTTGTTGCACAGGACTTCCGACCAACGCTATACACCAGATGAAGCAACGACATTTTCTTCCTTTGGACTCATGGCGAGGAATCACTGAAATGACTACACACCGATGTCAACAAGTTTCATCTCACCATCAGGCTTACCATGGATGACTCTTCAGAATCAGTCTCATTCTTGGACACACGTATCTCCATCAAACACGGACACCTCAGTACCTCACTCTACCGCAAGCCCACGGACAACCTCATGATGCTGCTCTTCTCTAACTTCCACCCTAAACATGTTAAAGAAGCCATCCCCTGTGGACAAGCCCAGTCTATACACAGGATCTGCTCAGATGAGGAGGAACGCGACTGACACCAAAAGATGTTGAAAGACACCCTATAAAAACAGGGATACGATGCTCAACTTATCGATCGCCAGTTCCGTCATGCCACAGCAAAAAACTGCAACAACCTCCTCAGAAGACAGACACAGGACACGACTGATAGGATACCCTTCATCATCCAGTACCTCCCCGGAGCAGAGAAACAATGCCATGTTCTTCATAGCCTTCAACATGTCATCAATGACGACGAACGTCTCACCAAGATCATCCTTATGCCTCCACTTTTCATCTTCAAACAACCGCCAAATCTTAAACAGACTAAATTGATCCAAGAACTGTGCCCCACACCACCCGTCACTGAGATGGGTGACACCAGACATACCCTGGCTCCACTTCGTGGCAGCATTGCCTGCTGTCCCAGCAGTGGCCACTGCACTGGGCAGCGCTGTTGAGACAATGAAGCCACCAACCATCCATTGGGCCCACAGGGGTCGGGGTGAGAGGGCCTCATTCCGAGAGGGCACGGATGAAGGCTCATCTCAAAGCCATTTAACACAAAATTCAACCATTCAGCTGGGATGGGGTCTGGGGAGATGGTAAGGATCCTGGTTCCCCATAACATCACACACACACACACACACACACACACACACACACACACACACACAC